AGCTGTTTTGCAGGCTGTCTTCTGCAGTCCCTTTAAACACCCCCTGTTTAAAGGGACTGCAGAAGAAAGCCTGAAAACAGCTGAGTGGTAGGAACAATCTGCTCCAGCCCCTCAGCTGTTTTACCGGGTTTGTCGGTAATTCCCGAATATATCTGGGATTTTTTTGGTTCTCCCGAAAAATCTCAGATATATTTGGGATGCTGAAATATACCCGAAAACTACCAAAAAGATGTTTTTTGGGTATATTTTTGGATCAGGAAGATCCGAATGCACACCCCTAGCTCAGTGTGTCTGGACATGATAGTTACCGGCTGGTCCGTCCTGTTGATTCCAATGAGGAAGAGAAGTTCTGCCACAAACAGGCTGATGCACAAGTTTTTATGGATCGTATTTCGGTCACTTTGGAGCCCACGGAAGAAGCAGAAGGTAAAGATGCAGATCAGGAGGCAGACGAGGGACAGGAGGATGCCGACCCAGGTGATAACATCCAGGAGCAGGTCATGGACTGCATCCCTGTGCTGCAGACACAACAGAAAGGGCAACCAGTCACTACCAGCTCCGGGCCGGCTCATCTGAGACTCTTGGACAGAGTCTGCTTTTCACCTGCCAATCTCCCACCCAAGGGAGTCACAGATCATAAAAAGAGAATTGCATTAATGCGTCTACGAAAAGTATGCACGTTCACTTTGCTCATTCAGCGTCTGTCTCATTTGCAAGTTCAGCAGAAAACAAGTGCCCGATTGCGGATCTCATTTATTGGAAGAGAATGGCACCGACGGCATGTATTTCCCACACTTATCAGTGGCATCAATAACCTGGCATTAAGCAGCCATCGTGTAAAGCGTGTCACCATGAGAACAGTTTCTGCAGTTCTCGAGCCTCTGGGCAGGCAAAGGTTTTGAAAAGCACAGCCGTGCCACTTTACCAGAAATATTATCCTGATCAACAACCACCAAAATTGTCAAGTCCCAGAGAAACAGCAATTTGACTCCCCCCATCAAGATTATAATACTGTATTTCAAAACCTCCCTTAAAGTAACTTTCTAAGGCTGCGGTCACACGTGCCGGTTGGAGCGGAGGGGAAGCGAGGCTATTTCCTCCTGAGGAATTTGACACGCAGTTGTGAGATCACACCTCCCTTTGTAGCTGCGAGCGCAGCCCGTCAGTGTGCGATCAGACGCAACTGCGGGTGAGTCAGGTTTTTTTTGGCAGTTTGCTTTCTATGCACACAAACAAGGAATCGCACCTCTGCACTGAGGGTCCCCTATGGAGTATGCGATGATGCGCATACTGCGAAGGGGGGGGGGGAACCGGCACCGAGCCGGTATGGCATGATCAGACCATCCCAATGACATAAGAGCATGCTTGTGCAATCAGACGGGGGGGAAGTCCGTCCGTTGCCCGTCAGAACCTGTTAGAGCCAGACTTTCCCCTGGCGTTTTTTCTGCGGCTGAGCAGCACGGGTTGCCAATGACTGCGGGACGCTTCCCAGATGTTGCTGTCTGATCGCTCCCTTTAGATCTGTCAGGCATTCGCAGCTATGTCGGATCTAAAGGCGCATGTGATCGCAGCCTAAATGTCCTGGAAACACGGTTTAAATACTGGGTCATCAGTCTGGGTAAATACGAATAATAGTTTTAACACAGAGATTGTACAACGGGACACTGGAGAGACGGCAGATAAATGTCCTCAGTAAATAAGTACAAATAAAATAAAATGGCTTTGTATTTCCATGTGAACTGAAGTAGGGTAAGTTTTAAAAAAAATCATACTCCCTCTAGGCCTTTTCTTGTTCTTTTAGGTTGACTCGACTGAAGAACAGGGTACATTAAAATGCGAGATTTAGGTCTAATTTCTATGCACAGTTTAGATGTTAGGTCTATGACACGGCCTCGTTTGGAACACTGTGTACAGTTCTGGTCACCATATCTACAAAAGGACACTGCAGAGCTGGAAAAAGTACAGATGATTAGGGGGGTTGGAGGTCCTTCCCTATGAAAAAAGGCTGGAGAGTCTGGGACTTTTCAGTTTAGAAAAGAGACGAATGAATGGGGACATGATAGAGGTTTATAAAATTATGCATGGGGTGGACAGAGTTGACAAAGGGAAGTTTTCCTCCCTCTCTCAAAATACTAGAACATTTTCCTGTATTTTTTGCAGTGGGGTGTAGTGGTAAAGAGTGTCAGACTAGCATTTGGAAGACCGAGGTTCGAATCCCCACTCATGTCCTGGAAACTTGCTGGGTGACCCTGGGCCAGTCACACTCTCAGCCTAACCTACCCCACAGGGCTGTTGTGAAGATAAAATGGAGGACGGGAGAATGATGTAAATCGCTTTGGGTCCCCACTGGGGAGAAAGGTGGGTTACAAACAAATTAAATAAATAATTAAATTAAGTTCACTTAAAGGCACACTGCACATTGGGTTCTGTAGTCTTATACCTGCATTAGTGGCTTTCTGTATTAGTGGCATCTGATAAGTAGGCTTTGGTCTACAAAAGCTTACATCACAATCAATCTGTTAGCTGTTAGGGTGAGAAAAACTAACGGCTACCACGCTTTGTTGTTGTTGTTCAGTCGCACAGTCGAGTCCGACTCTTCGTGACCCCATGGAAATGACATATGGCTAGTTATTCTTGATCAAGTGTACTGCTGGCGATTTAATGATGTTCCAGAATACAACTTGGCACAACAGGTTTAAAATACCACAAAGGCAGATAAAGACAAACTGCTTGTTTCAGTGTTGCTGAAACATGGGAGCAGTATTTTCCGACATGAATGACCTTGCTGTGGATTTGATTAAGTATTGAGGATTTGGGGAAGCCTACCCCAGTCTGCCATTCCCTGTTAGCGGAATTGCAAATTCTGAACTGCACTTCACGTTTAAAGAAATTTCAGTGGTAATGCCTATGAAAACTCCTGGCATGGGTATTCAGCCTCTGAATCCCAGTTCCAGGAGGTAACATCAGGGGTAGGCCTTGGCCTCTCTGCCCTGTTGTTGGCCCTCCAGAGACACTGATTGGGCCCTGTGTGAGCAAGGATGCTGGACTAGATGGACCACTGGTCTGGTCCAGCAGGTCTCTTCTTATGTTCTTAACATCAAAAGAAAGCCTCTGTGCTCTGTTTGTTGGCCCTCCAGAGCACCTGGTTGGCCGCTGTGTGAGCCAGGATGCTGGACTGGATGGACCACTGTTCTGATCCAGCAGGGCTCTTCTTATGTTCTTACGTGCCTTCATCTGGTAGTGATATAGATTTTTCCACCCAGAAACATGTGCTATGAATCGGGCCTTAAGCAGCTCCATCTGTTCAGCCCATCAAAAGAGGCACCGGGGCCTTCCAGCATTCCACAGATGAAAATAGGTAGATTTGGTCTTGGTTTTCAGCCATGTTCCTTTAAGAAGAAACAAATGGCTTTCTCAGAGCCAAACCGGACAGCTTCATATGTTTGCAAAAGTAGCAGCAGAGAACAGTGTCTACTTCAGAGAGAATATATATGTCTCCTTCACAGACAATAACTTTCTCGAAGCTACACTGTTTAATCACTGGTTTGCCCATGATTCATTTATTTCACCGAGTCAGTAATGAGGGGTTGCAAACTTGTTACAAAAAGATGCTCGAACAGCAGCATCAAGACTTAAAAGAACATACAGTTAAATACGCTGTCAATGTCTTTCACGGCCAGAGTTCATTAGCTGTTGTAGATTTTCTGAATTGTCTGGCCGTGGTCTTGGCATTGTAGGACCTGACGTTTCGCCAGTAGCTGTGACTGGCATCCTCAGAGGTATAACGCAGAAAGATGGAGTATTCTCTGTGTCAAGGATACTCCGTCGTTCTGTGTTACACCTCTGAGGATGCCAGTCACAGCTACTGGCGAAACGTCAGGTCCTACAATGCCAAGACCACGGCCAGACAACCCGGAAAATCTACAACAACTAATATACAGTTCACTTAGGAAAAAGAGATAAAAGAGGGCTTAAGAGGTGGTCTTAGATAGATCTTTGCTGTCCGATACATGGGAAATGTACACAACAGAGGCCGACTCAGCATAAATACATTGTTAGTGGCCAGGAGTCAAAGTGCAACGGGGCACGTCATGTAGAGGGCGACTCCTCTAACTCCATCGCCTCACCCCTGCTCTCCATCAGGTAGATCTTTCCTATTTCATCTGGTAACACCTTTTTATTTCAACTCCTTTGCCTAGGGATGCAAACAAAACTCCCTCCTGTCTGAAGATTCTGGGGTTCCCAATTACCTGATCTTGCTTTCAGAGAGGCACTGATAAATTTGCCAAATCATCAATCATACTTTGATTTCCCACATTTGTTCCATTCCAGGCAAGTGTGCAGGGTAGGGTTGCCAGGTCCTGGATGGGAAACAACTAGAGATTGCGGGGTGGACAGGGACTTCAGTGGGGTTCAGTGCCACACAGTCTACCTTTCATAGCACCATTTTTTTCTCTCCAAGGGAACTGGTCTCTGTAGTCTGGAGATGAGCTGTAATTCCAGGAGATCCCCAGGTCCCACCTGGAGGCTGGCATCCCTAGAGAGGGTCCAGTTCTCTGGTCAAGACGTTCAAATGACTGGTGGGAGGGGACACAGTGCAGGGGCTCAGCGCATTCCCAGCTGTCAGCAACACGGGAGGTGACTGACATCCCGGTGTGAGCCTGGGTTGCTTTTGATGGCTGTATCCGACCCATGACCGCTGCTGGCGCTTGTCTTGGGCCTGGCTGGCAGTAATCTGGGCCCTGAAAGGAATGGGTGTGCCTTGAGACAAAACATGTTAAACCAACCCTGCACACGTGCACTCGGTTGCAATTAACAATTCCTGTATCCTTTTCCTTCTGGGTTACCAAGTGCCTATGTGGTGCCGACATGATGGTGGTGGGAAGTGCTGTGAAATCACAGCTGAGTTACGGTGACCCTGAGGGGGTTTTCAAGGCAAGAGGCTTTCAGGGGCGGTTTGCCATTGCCTGCCTCGGCATCATGACCCTGGTATTCTTTGGTGGTCTCCCTTCCAAATACAGACCAAGGCTGACCCTGCTTAGCGTCCAAGAGCTGATGAGATCGTGCTAGCCTTATTACTTATAGCCACAGATTATTGCAACATAATTTATATACATTTTTTATTTTGAAAAGCAAAGTATAATATAGAGGGGATACAAGAAGAAAAGAGGGGTTATGAAACAATTTTTTCATACACACACACACACACACACACACATGCATACATTACAGGGTATATAGAAAAGAAAAAATATTTCTCCCCAACATCCCCTTCATTATAGTTTTAAGACATTATTACTATTATTGTAACATAATTTAATATATATTAATGTAGAAAGAAAGAAAGAAAGAAAGAAAGAAAGAAAGAAAGAAAGAATCTCCACACAAACGCAAATCTCTGTATCAGTGTTCTTGAATAATCAAACCTTGTAGAACTTTCTGCACAACTTTTTGTGTCCCCAGGAGTAGATCCATATTTAGTGCCCCATTACTCTGCGTTTTCCAAATCCACCTTTTC